ATGAAGTAAAGATTTAAATTGAAAAGAAAACAAACAGAACAAAAACAAAAATGACAACCAAAGCTTATTTTAAAAATGTGTCCAACTGTATAAATGGAACATTATCTATATGCCTTGCTCTGATTTTAAATGACAGTGAGTATATCTAGTGCACAAGATTAGGAAAAGCAATTCAAACTCCTTTCTTCCTTATTTTAATATATGTATATTTATTTATTCTTATTTATCACAAATAAGTTTAAATTTTATTGCCTTCTCTTTTTAAATGACTAAGTTCAACTGTCATGTTATAATATCCTAAAGATGCCTCAGACTGTTTTATGGGGTGATTTATAAAAGGCCCAGGGCTATCTCAGGCTTTTGAAAATATTCTGAAATGTTTATTAATGGCCTCATAAACTATGCTCATCCTGTTTTGCTGATGAATACTTGGCAGTTGGAAAAAAGGCACTCAGTTCATTACCACATGAGATCACAAAATATTCTGTAAGAATATACCTTACTAATTTCTGATATATATAGAACTATGAGTTTTAAAATGATCAACAAAGTTTAATGTATGAAGAGTGCACTAAAAATCACTTCAGTCTGGGCTTCCCTGGTGGCGCAGTGGTTGGGAGTCCGCCTGCCGATGCGGGGGGCGCGGGTTCGTGCCCCGGTCCGGGAGGATCCCGCGTGCCTCGGAGCGGCTGGGCCCGTGAGCCATGGCCGCTGAGCCTGCGTGTCCGGAGCCTGTGCTCCGCGACGGGAGAGACCGCAGCAGTGAGAGGCCCGCGTACCGCAAAAAAAAAAAAAAAAAAAAATCACTTCAGTCTGGAACTGAGAAGCCATTATTTTCATATCCACAGGTTAAGATAATTGATAAAGGCAATCAGTGGCTATTTTCAAATATGTTTTCAGCATTTGTTTATTTAGAAAGTGAAAATCAAATTTCTATAACCATCCTCTTCTTTCAATAAACTGAAAAGCTATTTCTTTAAATTTTGCTCAAAATAAGTCTATAGATATGTATAAATAGAAATAATACTTTGATACTTTATTTTTGTCCTATTGTTGGTTTCCTGGATAGCTACATCACAGATAGGCAATTAATTAAGCAAAATAAATAATTTAGTTCATTTTTAATATTTTCAGTGGGTAGGCAATGTACTGTGGATGCAACATTAAGCAAAATTATAGTGGGTTCCTCCCATATCACTGTCAGGTCTGTACCAAATGGAGCAGCAGCTTTGGAGAAGAGTTTTGAAAAGCTTTTCAATTAATTACAAAGTACTACCCAAATGATAGATATAATTAGAATCTCAGGAGACTCAGAAACACCATAAAAATAGTGGTATGTTAGAGTTCTTATAAGTGGTTTCTATTTTCAGTGACTAACTTCTACTTTGCGGATTTTGGACGTACATAGTAAAATAGGGAAAAATGTAGGAGAAACAGTAAATAACCAATATTGCTTGATCTTGGATAGCTGACATCTATCCAATTATCATAATCAATACATATTCTAAATTTAGCATTATCATAATTAAAATGTATTCTAAATTTTCTGAGCAAATGCTTCCAAGAATCCTACCAGGTATTTGCAAATTATTAGTCTATCTATTAGTATACTGGAATTGTTTTTTAAATATTCAGCATGTAATACCTGAAACTATTAGCTTGAAAATTAAACTTATTCATAATGCTTGTAAGCACAGGCTTTTAGTACTCAACAAAAAGTTAAGAAAGCTGTAAAGTTTCCAAATTGGAAAAACATAAATGGTTCAAGAGTCCTTTTGTCCATTTAGACATCTAAAATTCATGAAGCAGACACAACTAGCTTAGATATTTAAAAAAATCTAATCTCTTCAATTACATCTAGTTTTGCTCATTAATCTAGAAATCATTTTACTTGTCTACCTAAAGATCAAGGGACATAATTATGAAAGGAACCTTCACTTTATTTCTATTGGAAAAGAATGTCTTAAATTAGATGAAATAGATATCTTTTTCAAGTAAAGTATAATAAGAAAAATAGTGTGTTATGCATGACAAAAAACCCCAAAATTTAAAATTTAAAGACTAAAAGATAAATAAAACTGGATAATTGAGCCAAAAATAAAGGACCAGAGACTATTTCTTGGCTGTTTCCCCAGTGAAGAAAATTAGTGCTCCGAAGATGGAACTGAGTACAATAATTTCTTGTCAGGCTATCAGAAATATCTTCTCAAAGCGTTTTATTTTGTTTTATTTTGTGTCTACACTGAGACTCTTTCATTCATATTTGACGCTTTCCTCTTATTTACTCTTCCCTTTTTCTCCCTTTGTGCAATGCACTTTAGAGAATGTGTGTGTTAACTCAAAATGATTGACTTGGTGAAACTGTACTGGGCCATATTTTATGGATTTTGTTTTTTAATTTTATTGAAGTATAGTTGATTTACAATGTGTTAATTTCTGCTATATAGCAAAATGATTCAGTTATAAATATATATACATTTTTTCATATTCTTTTCCATTTTGGTTTATCACAGGATATTGAATGTAATTTCCTGTGTTACACAGTAGGACCTTGTTGTTTATCCGTTGTATATATAATAGTTTGCATCTGCTAACCCCAAATTCCCACTCATACCCTCCCCTAGCCCACCTCTCCGTTGGCAACCACAAGTCTGTTCTCTATGTCTGTGAGTCTGTTTCTGTTTCATAGATAAGTTCATTTGTGTCATATTTTAGACTCCACATATAAGTGATATCATATGGTGTTTGTCTTTCTGACTTACTTCACTTAGTATGATAATCTCTAGATCCATCCATGTTGCTGCAAATGGCATTATTTCATTCTTTTTATGGCTGAGTAATATTCTATTGTATATATACCAGGTCTTTTTTATGCAGTCATCTGTCAGTGGACATTTAGGTTGTTTCCATGTCTTGGCTATTGTAAATAATTGGATCATATTTTATGGAAGGTAGTGGAATGACTCATCTAGGAAAGATATACAGAAATCCCTGCAGGGGAAGGGGACTGGTGCAAGGAAAGCACTGAAAGCAATATTGATGGAGAACAGAAGGAGGGAGTAACAAGATGAAGTGGGGACTATCAGCTAGGGCCAGAACATGCAGGGCCTGGACACTACTCTATGAGCAATGAACAATGCCTTTTAAGTATAGCATTTAGGGTGACAGGATCAAACTTGTGATTTATAAGGTCTCATTCTTGGGGAGACATATCTTTTGGAGACCATGAAGCTATGCTTAGGAAAGGAGGCAATAGTAGAAATTAGAAGCATAGAGGGCTATTTCTGAAGACTAGTAGAGAGATATCAATGATTTGAATGGGGAGATAGAGAGAAGTTGGTATATTTTAGGTATATTGGACGTTATAACACCAGGATTTTTCAATGGGACAGAGCTTGTTGCAAAGGAGAGTATGATTCTAAGCTATACGTAACAGCTTTCTGACAGTGGCCCTCCATGGATAGTAATAACTATGAGGACTCTGAAGTTTGTGTTTCCAAGTCAAAACACTGTTCATAACCTCCAACTCCTGTATGTAACAGGTTACTCAACATCTATAGTTAGCTGTCTCACAGTTATCTTGAATTCATTTAATATATACTGAACTTGTGGTCTTTAACCTATTATTATCCCCCCCCTTTTTGGTGAGGATTAAATGATATTTATTTATTTTGTACTTAACATAGAGTAAATATGCCTTCCCCTTGATTTACTATGACCAAGTATAGTTGTCCCTCTGTATCCCTGGGGATTTGTTCCAGGAGTCCGCTCAGATACCAAAATTCAAGGATGCTCAAGTCCCTTATATAGAATGTTGTAGTATTTGCATACAACCCACACACATCATCCTGTATACTATTTTAAAATTTAAAGTATAGTTTATGTACAATATTATGTGTTACAGATGTACAATACAGTGATCCACAATTTTTAAAGATATTATATTTATTGCTCTTACAAAGTATTGGCTACATTCCCTTCATTGTACAATATATCCTTGTAGCTTATTTTATACACAATAGTTTGCACCTTTTAATTCCCTACCTCTATCTTGTCCCTCTCAGCTTCCCTCTCCCCGCAGACTCACAGATATAGAGAACTAACCACTAGTTTGTTCTCTATATCTGTGAGTCTGCTTCTTTTTTGTTATATTCACTAGTTTGTTTTATTTCTTAGATTCCACATATAAATGATATCATACCTAAATGTAAGAACAGAAACCATAAAACTCCTAGAGGAAAACATAGGCAGAACACTCTTCGACATAAATGATAACAATATTATTTCCTTCGTAGTGATCCCTGTTTTAGTACAATATTCCCTCTCCAAACTGCACCCGTCTTGACTGCCTTCACTTATATGAGAATAGAGAGAAGATCAAATTCTTTTTTTCTTTTTGCTATTAAAATTCTCAAGGCGGCTGGAGCCCAGCCAAGCCTCTGCAGCTGCTGCCGCGGGCGCCCACCAAACACTTTGCAGACTCGCTTCCACCCTGCGGGCCAGTCTGCGCTGCGGGGCCCGGGCTCAGGGCAGCCGCATTCGGGAACAGGCCATGCAGTGAAGCCCCCCCACCCCGTCCACCTTTGCCCGGAGACGCGGGCAGCAGCCCAGTACGTCCAGCCGGCCCAGGGGCAGGAGCAGCGCTGGGGGCGGGGGAGGGTGGCCCAGCCCGGGGACTGGGAGCCGGGCTCCGAGCTGAAGGCGGAGGAAGTGGCGCCGAAGTTTGCCTCGGACTCACCGGGCGCTGCGGCGGCAGCACTGTTGCTGCCGCCGCCGCTGCTTCATTGCACGTTCATGAGGAAAATTTTTAGGAGTCAACAGAAACATTGTGCCCAAAAAAGACTGAGTCGCAGTTACCACCAAACCCTGGAGTAGACTCTCCCTGGAAAACTTCCCTTCGGTTTATTTTCTTGAAAAGACTCCAGGCCTTCTGCTTGGAAAATCCAACCGCCAAAATTGAGCCCAGCAGCTGGGGCGGCAGTGAGATCCCTGCCGAAAACATGGAAAGGATGAGTGACTCTGCAGATAAGCCCATTGACAATGATGCAGAAAGGGTCTGGAGCCCCGACATTGAGCAGTGCTTTCAGGAAGCCTTGGCTATGTGTCCACCATGTGGGAGGAGGAAAATCATCTTATCAGGTGAAGGCAAGATGTATGGTAGGAATGAATTGATAGCCAGATACATCAGACCCATGACTGGGAAAACGAGGACCAGAAAACAGGTGTCTAGTCATATACAGGTCTTAGCAAGAAAGTAAGTTCGAGAAATTCAAGCCGCCATTGAGGTGTCACATTCAGGTTCTTGCCAGAAGAAAATCTTGTGATTTTCATTCCAAGCTAAAGGATCAGACTGCAAAGGATAAGGCTCTGCAGCACATGGCCGCCATGTCGTCAGCCCAGATCGTATCAGCCACTGCCATTCACAGCAAGCTGGGGCTGCCAGGGATTCCACACCCCACCTTCCCAGGGGCGTCGGGGTTCTGGCCGGGAATGATACAAATAGGACAGCCTGGATCCTTACAAGACGTCAAGCCCTTCGTGCAGCAGGCGTACCCCATCCAGCCAGCGGTCACAGCCCCCATTCCAGGGTTTGAGCCTGCGTCAGCCCCAGCTCCCTTGGTACCGGCCTGGCAGGGCCGCTCCATTGGCACAACCAAACTCCGCCTGGTGGAGTTCTCAGCTTTCCTCAAACAGCAGCAAGACCCAAACTTGTACAACAAACACCTATTCGTGCACATCGGGCATGCCAACCATTCTTACAGTGACCCATTGCTCTAATCAGTGGACATTTGTCAGATTTATGACAAATTTCCTGAAAGGAAAGGTATCTTAAAGGAACTGTTTGGAAAGGGCCTTCAAAATGCCTTCTTCCTCGTAAAATTCTGGGCTGATTTAAACTGCAGTATTCAAGATGATGCCGGGGCTTTTTACAGCGTGACCAGTCAGTATGAGAGTTCTGAGAATATGACAGTCACCTGTTCCACCAAAGTTTGCTTCTTTGGGAAGCAAGTAGTAGAAAAAGTAGAGACGGAATATGCAAGGTTTGAGAATGGCCGATTTGTATACCAAACAAACCGGTCCCTGATGTGTGAATATATGATCAGTTTCATCCACAAGCTCAAACACTTACCAGAGAAATATATGATGAACAGTGTTTTGAAAAACTTCACAGTTTTATTGGTGGTAACAAACAGGGATACACAAGAAACTCTCCTGTGCATGGCCTGTGTATTTGAAGTTTCAAATAGTGAACATGGAGCACAGCATCACATTTACAGGCTTGTAAATGACTAGCCATGGTTATTTATATATATAGATATCTGTATATACACACACACGTGTGTGCGCACACACACTCTCTATGATCGAACGACTGACTGTAAACCTCACCACGCAGGTGTGCTGCCTTGGCCCTGAGGTCACCCCAACTTTTCTAAATCATGTTTGAGTGAAGTCATTTTTTCATGTGTTCATACTCATTGTAGCTGTGAAGTTCTTGTACCGTTGTAAAAAGAGAAATCAAGTTGTTTCTGTGTGTTATTCAGATCCATGGCCCACAGTTCCTCAGAAAGTTGAACCTTAAGAACCCGTCTGTGTTTGCAGAGACCTGTTTCTCGTTGTGGTAGAAAAAAAAATTGACAGAGCATTTACCATTGGACATTTACTGCCTTTATACAAATGTATTAAGTGTTTTTTTTTTCAACATAAAAATCTTGTTTTAAGATACAAGTAAAATCAATCTTTAAATATAAATGTAAATTAGTACACAAAACTAAGAATCTTTAGACTTATCTTTGTAACAAATTAGGGTGGAAGTTATGAAAGAACGTAATTCACTAAATTATTTTTTAAACGAAACTTTTCCTTCTTTTTGAAACCAACATTAAAATATAGCCTTAAAAAATGCTTGGTGGGCTTCCCTGGTGGTGCAGTGGTTGAGAGTCTGCCTGCCGATGCAGGGGACACGGGTTTGTGCCCCAGTCCGGGAAGATCCCACATGCCACGGAGCGGCTGGGTCTGTCCGTGAGCCATGGCCGCTGAGCCTGCGCATCTATGAAACTTTTCCTTTTTGAAACCAAATGTTAAAATATAGCCTTAAGAAATGCTTGGTAGAAATATCCTAATGAGACAAATTTGTACTTTTTTCCTCAAGGTTAAAACTAATCTCCTAATCCATTAAACTCTTGAAACAGCTATTACAGAGGAAGAAAACTTCACCCCTTATCCTTAACATATATAGTATATTTAAAAAATATAAAATTGTATTGTAAAAAATAAAATAAAATCCTCAAGGACACTTAGCATCAGGTACATTTCTTAGATGGGGCAAAAGGGAGTGGGAGCCCACCTAGGACATGCGCATGATTCATAGGAGGGGACATAAGATGCTGAAATTTAGTCTCCTTGTATGGACACTATCAAATTTCAATTTTTTTTCTGTAAAGTTGCTAAGGGATCACTGAAAGATGCTCATTGTATGATATTTTTTCATGTGTGATTATATTGAGTCTTTTCAATTAGTTAATACTTTTGTCCTTTCAACTGGTTAATAGTTTTACTAAAAAAGAATTTCAAGTAGATCCTTTTTGCCCTACAAAAATATCCCAAAACAACAAATTACAGTGTAGGTCTGGGTTTGATTTGTCCCATCATCTTTATACAAAGATTGATTTTAACATATAAACAGTGGGAAGCCACAAATGAGACTTTACTGACTCAATTTGATAAATGCCATAACCTACTTTCCACTGTGTCTGCACTGATAATAACTGTGGTGGATGGTGTTTGGTAAATATAGAATTAATACCCAGTGAGTTCAGTATATAAAATTAAGTATCAATATACAGTTAATAAGAATTAGATGTTAGAAAATAGGAAGGTTTTTATTATTAAAAGATGTTTACTAGCACACAATTTCCCTAATGGGCTTATGGAGATAACAGGAGAAGTGAAGTTTCAAAGCCCATGCTGAACTTACAGTTTCCTGTAAAATAGGCATTAATGCATAAAGATAAAGAAAAGGTATCTTTATTTTGAAGAACCAGTTGAAAGTCCTTTTGTCTTTTGGGATTTTAAATAAATTGTTTTGAATTTGAGAGACTTCAAAAGAGGGCATAGACTTGAATATGCTTTCTACAGGAAGTATGTGCTCTAAAATGTTGAGAAACATTAATGTAGACAGCAAGACTATACAGAAACAGAAACAGGACAGTTTTTCAGAAGACAAGGTTTGGGGGTGAATGTGCGTTTAAGGCTGTTTCCACTAATCGCTTTAGTCACACAATCATTCAAGTCAGACAACCAGTTTGACTGGCTTTTTAACCTTATTAGCATGATGCTTGACCAAACTTGATTCAAGAGTTCAGTTGAAATGGCAGGATCACAAACAGTCTTAGGCTCTGCAAATCTATCTATAGTTTCAAGTCAGTTGGACAGCGTTCACTGTGTGCAGAGGGTGTGTATATTGCACTAATTATTTTAAACCTTTTCTCCTCTCCTAAACCCGCTAGTCCTGCTCTTCCCCATTCCCTCTCAAGAGGTCACCTCGCTTCCTACTTCAGAGAGAAAATATACAAAAATTGTATAAATACATGCCACTTGCACAAATCGTAACTGCCAGTTACGGTCTCTTTTGATGAATACCCCTGACTTTCAGAGACCTCAATATGCTTATACCCTGATAGATTTATTTTTTATTGTTGTTATTGCTTTCATTTGAAACATGAAATGTGGATTTTACTCAGCAGAACATTCTTCGGAGGAAAAATATTCCAATATTTCCAAGATCATTCCACTAGAATAAAATTTTTCTTCTCTGAATCCAGTTCTCTTCTGGACTGTATGTCTTTATAATAGTTAAACATGGATCCAGTATTTTTTAAGTCTCTGACATAGTGATTGCATGACTATAGAATGATATTACTAATTCTGTTTATTCTAATTTTTTGAACAAAAATAGAAAGGTAGGAAAAGACAAAAAATTTAAAAAGAAAAATCATTTTGTAATTTCCTTATGCTAGATTCCTTAGTAGATAATTTAGCACCTATGTGAGGAATAAGGTTAAAAATGTAATAGGCACTCTCATGGATAAAACTTCTAAAATGCTAAATCCTAACCTTAAGGTTCTTGTTTCAGTACAGAATAGGCTACAATCCCCAGCTGCTTTATGGAATAAATTGGTAGCTAATTCCACATTTGTGTGATTTCTGCATAATTTGGATTCATTCAGGGAAATACTTTTTCTCTATTCTTGATAGTAAGTAATATGCAATGAAATCTATTTGAATATAACATATTAGTGTAATAGGATGGTTACAATCTGTAATCTGAAAAATAAAATTGTAGCTGCAGTCATAGCAGCTAGTTCTTGAATAAAGGGAACAATGGTGTTCATCAGATTATCCTAACAACACAAAATGAAATGGCCTGTTCTATGAAATTCTCTCTATAGAATTCACTCAGCCAATCAAAGACATATTTGTTTTGCATTTGAAAATGTTCATACTTTAATAGGAATGTCTCATGAATGGCATGAAAAGTAAATACTCATAAAAGTGTTTACTGTCTTCATATTTGAATAAATCATACTATTCAATTAATGGAGGAAAAATAGGTCTGTCAACTTTGATTTAATCTCCTCCCTGTGTTTTTCAGAAGAAGAAAAGTCAATAAATTATAAACAGTAGAATTACTCACTAAATACTGAATTAAAAAAAAAACTTCAACCATACGGGCTTCCCTGGTGGCACAGTGGTTGAGAGTCCACCTGCCGATGCAGGGGACACGGGTTCGTGCCCCCGTCCGGGAAGATCCCACATGTCGTGGAGCGGCTAGGCCCGTGAGCCGTGGCCGCTGAGCCTGCGCGTCTGGAGCCTGTGCTCCGCAACAGGAGAGGCCACAACAATGAGAGGCCCGCGTACCACA